AGTATAAAGATTCGTCAACCCATGCCCATGTCATTGTGCCAAATGGCTATAACCAATTTGTCAATCCAACCACGCTATTATACATTTTTATGTACTCCATTCATTTTAAATATTTATTATTTAAGGTAATGGTATAAAAAAAAATATCATTAAATAATCTCAATTACAAAAATATAATTTCATTTAATTAAATTATTCATTGAATACTTGAAATATTATTTTTTATTAATATATTCTCTTAGTTTAGTAGGTGAGAATATTAAAATTATAATATTTTGAATTGCATAAAATAAGTGGCAGAATATACTTACCACAAAAAAAGTTTACAATCTTTACAACCAACCTAATCACCATTAATTTTTGTCAATTTAACGGTTACAATTTATTAGAAATTAATAACTAATTAATAAATGCGACCCAATAATTTTCAATAAATTATAACTGTTAGATTGGCAAAAACTAGCGGTGATTAAGTGAGTTATAAAGGTTGTAAATTTTTTTAGTGGTATGCATATCATTTTCCTTGCCTAAATTAGGGATATATTTACCAAATTTTTTCATTTTTTATCAGAAATATTATATATTATATAAATAGAAAAGATGAATTCTACATCTATACTTTGTACTTACGCAATTTGTTAAGCGCCACTTAAATCCATTGGGTACGGGCTTTTTCAATAGTTTATATTATTATACTTATATAATTTTACAAGTGGGGGATTGTGAGAATCGAATTCGTGCAAGATTACTGAAAGTTTTGATACCATGTTAAGCGCCACTTCAAACCAAAACCTTAAAATATTTGATAAGAATCTTTTTAATAATTTATATTATTATGTAGCACAGTTGGAAAAAAAGTGATGTATCACATGAGCAAGGTGTTAACAAAATAATTATTAGAGGAGTAAATTATAAAATTTAAGATTTTTAAATAATTTTTTAAATAAAAAAATTAAAGTATTAAAGATGAGCATAATTGTTTTGTGTCATAATATTCACTAATGAATATATTAGAATTAAAATATACTTTTATCTTTATACGTTACAATTATTAATTTGATCTTTCTATATTATTTTTTTTAATTTTATTACAAATGTAGAATCATTTCCAAATCGGCATTGTTGTCTGTTACCATTTTAATATTGTAATAATGACATAAATTTTCCTCGCAAAAAAAAAATGACATAATTTTTTTTTGGAAACAATAATGACATAAAATTATTATGAAGTATATAAACTAAATTCAAAATAATTGACATACATGACAATAAAAAAGTACAGTGTGTATCTTTATACATACACCAATCTTTAAAAGGTTTTTTTTCTTCGCAAAGTTACTTTAGATAACTTTATTTAATATTCATCGAAATGATGTCGTTTTGGGACAAAAATTATAGTATTTTTGTAATTTTAATTTATTTTAATATTATAATAGTCTTTATCATTCTAATTTTTTAACTCCAAAATAACGTCGTTTCAATGAACATTAGACAAAGTTGTCTAAAGTAACATTACATATATTTTTGTCCTTTTTAAAATTTACAAAACTAATTTTGAAATTTGAAAATAGTATGAATAATCAAATTTGGCTAATTTTTAAAAGTGTTTAAGAGGTCAGATATATATTCCACAAAACATAAAATGAAACTTTAATTTGAAATTAATCAACTAATCTTTTTTCCGTGCTAATAGGTTGAATGGTTTAAATACTGATTTTTTGTTCTCAATTTTCGCATAGTTCTGAAAACTACAGTAAAATAATATGGAGATGCTGAGGTATCATTTGTTATCTGATTTGGTATTTAAAATTGTACTTGTCATTTTTTTAATTTGGAATGTCAATTTATTTATAACACCTACGTTCATAGAAGCTCACTATCCAAGAAGTTGAATAATCCCAAGGCAAAAATAACATTGTACTTCAGAGATTAATTTTTTCTTTATGGTGCGTTTCGCACTGTCACACACCTGGCAACTTTGAAAGTTCACTGTCACACATAAAACCTAGAGAACCTGACGGTTGGCACTGAACTGTGAGCACGTGGCTGATTCTAAGGTTCATTGTAATGAAAAAGGCCAATAGAATATCAGAACTTAGACGAGAAACACACACACCCTACTGTCCACAGTGGCATGAAACCTAACCCCACTCTGCAGTGTCAAGCCAATCCTCCTCATCGAGTCATCCTCTGTATTTTATTATTTTTAAAAGAGCAATATAGTAATATATACTCTCTTAGTCAAACAATTAACTATGCCACAGACCAAAATGTGATATATAATATACTAGCTAGCTTAGCTACGAAATTGTTTATATATAAATACACACACAAATCAAATTATCCAAGTTCTGTAATGACAATCTTCTTCATATAATAACAATAATTATTATGATATTGTATATGCTGACACAAACCGACAAATCACAAATGGCGGTTGTGGAGATAATGAGAAGTTGGTTTAAGACACTTTTTGGCAATCAGATGATCCAAAACCTAAGTTACAATATGTTATTGAAATAAGAAAAAGAATGCATAAACATAAAATAAGGTTCAAGTAGCCGTAATAATATTTCATTTAGGATTTGGGACAGTTCATGATTAGCTAAACAGTTGAGATTCTAAGGAGCCGACCTTTTTGGGATTTGAGGAATCACAACCTACATACAGAACGTAAAGAGTCGGCGCTTCGCTTCTTATTCTTAAATATTATTTAGATCTCATTTTAATCCGTATAAAATTATTTTATAATTCTGATCATATATTTTTCATTTTATTAATGACTTATAAAATTTATTTTTATAAGAAGTGATTTACAATTAATTTTTAAATTCTTTTTATCATGAATAATTAATTAAAATTTACAACCAGGCTTTTACAAGAGGATAAATCGGACTTGGCTTCATAATCCCATCAAATAGCATCTTGCACAAAATATTGTTAATTTGTACACTTCTCTCGGTAGCTCTCGATAAAATGGTTTTTTGATTGGCATTAAAAAATTTATTCTCAGCACTATTTCGTCTCTTACGCAAGCAAAGCTATTAAATATTCATTTTTTAAAAAATAAAATAAAAAAAGCATCTTGTGATATAAGTTTTAACTTTGACAAATGCTTGAAACTAGAAAGAAACACCAATTGCTTGCCCTCTGTGAAGACGTAACGCCGTAAGAACATGTGTGAGTGAATATCATATCTATATTCTTACTCTCTCTTTTATGGTGTGGTTTTTCTATATTCTTACTTTAATTAGAATTCGTTGCGTTGTCACGGTCAAAATTCATAATTAATTTCAATGACGAACTATTTTATACGAACAGTTTTTTTTTTTTTAATTTGGCACATAAAAATGCATGGATTGAAGTGATATTTTGGAATGGCGAAAAAGAGAGGCTCGATAAGGAGACAAATCAGATCAGCTATTGCATTGTACATATTTGCTTTGTGTCCTTGAAGGCAGACCACACCACCCACCACAGGGCCTGCGATACTCCTGAGATTTTAAGAAAAAATCTGGGAGATCCTTAGTAATCTCCAAATTTGCATCACATCTTTTATTATTATTTGGATTCCAGATACTTGTTTTGTTTTGTACATAACATATCAAAGTACGTCCTGCTTTCCCCTTTTTACGGCCATTTATGTCCTGCTTTCCACCTAGTGCCCAAACAATATCTCTGCACTTTAAAAGTTCATCAATCCTTCCCAATTCCCATCATATCCACAGCGAGACAATCCCACGTGTCTCAGCATTTTTGCCCGCCAACAACACTCCCCTCCTTCAAGTGTCAAAATGCTTTTCATTATTAACGTTATTATTATTTTATGAGTAAACACCCTTTTTAGTCCTTGTCAATATCTACGAAGTCTTTTTTAGTTCCTGACAATAAAAAAAGGACTAAATTGGTCCCTGAAATTACAAAAAAAGGGCCATGTTAGTCCTTATGTCAACTCCCAAATATGTAGAGTGGCCCTTTTCTTGTACTTTCAAGGACCAATTTGGTCCTTTTTTATTGTCAGGGACTGAAAAGGACTTCGTAGATATTGCCAGGGACTAAAAAGGTACTCTTATTTTATCCATAATAAAAGTCACAATATGTTTGTCAATTAAATCACAACTTAATTTCCGATATCATTTTTAGGAAGAGTTTGAAATCTATCTGTTCTTAATAAAATTATTTTTTGTGAAAGATATTCGTGATTTATAAAAAAAAATAAAAAATCACAACTTAATATCAGCAAACTATAAAGATTAGTTTTTGTTTTTTCTTTTTATTGGATTCAGCAAAATAAGTAATATCTTTTACTTTTAACAAAGGCTACCTACCTGATTTGCCAAAAAAAAGATGGGCACAAATTGAAGACTTGACTTATATCTTTTAAAGGTGAGTGTTTGAATCTCTTTAGCTTATCATCTATGTGAAGATTTTATTGATAGGTGATATGTAATTTCTTTTTGAATTTTTGAAAGAGAATGGAGGTCTTCCCTAATACTAGTGGAATACGATGTGCAACCTTATTTAAACTAATAAAAACCAAAAAAAAAAGTCTACCAAATTTACTGAGGAACGTTACTCTTATCCATTACTAATCATTTTATCAGCTACTATATTTTTGTTTGTTTGCAAACTCAGATGTCAGAATTCAGATTACAAGTTAGCAATGTACAAACCAGAAAGGTTGATTGAAACTTGAAGGTTAAAAATGATATATTATATTTTATAAAACCAACCTCCCAAATTAAGGCATGAAGAAACAACCAGAGTCATTATTAATAAAATAAAAAATTGCAAATGGCACCCACTATACTCAGTCGGCAAAATAAGGTGCATGAACCAGGTCACCGTGTCCTGCCTTATAAATAGAGGGCACTCTCCCAACCTCTTATCCCATCCCATCCCACCTCACTCACTCACTCCTGCAGCAAGAGCGAGAAAGAGAGAGAGAGAGGGGGGACAGAAACAGAAATCTGATTTAATTAAACCCATACAATACAAGAATGCCTTCTTCTGCGCCCAACATGCTCTCAAAATGCACCATCTTCCCAGACCAAAAATCCAGTATGGGAAACCTCAAACTCTCAGTTTCAGACCTCCCCATGCTCTCCTGCCACTACATTCAAAAGGGGTGCCTCTTCACTGAACCTTCTCTCCCAATCCACACTCTCATCCCCCTCCTCAAGTCCGCACTCTCTCGAACTCTCTCTCTCTTCCCACCTCTCGCTGGTCGCCTCCACACTGATTCCCAAGGTTACGTCTACATCACCTGCAACGATGCTGGCGTCGATTTCGTCCACGCCATTGCCACCGGAATCTATATCCGCGACCTCTTATCCCCACCCGATGTCTCCCAATCCTTCAAGGAATTCTTCCTCTTCGACAGGAAAGTTAGTTACAGCGGCCACTCCTCCCCCCTTTTGGCCGTTCAGGTCACTGAGCTCCCCGACGGCTTCTTTATTGGCTGCGCCGTTAATCACGCCGTCACCGACGGAACCTCCTTCTGGAATTTCTTCAACACCTTCGCCCAAGTCTGCAGAGGAGCTAATAACTGCATCCGAAATGTCCCGGACTTTCGCCGCGACTGCATCCTGATCTCGAAAGCCGTGCTCCGGTTGCCGGAGGGTGGTCCGAAGGTGACATTCAACGCCGACGCGCCGCTGCGCGAGAGGATTTTTAGCTTCAGCCGCGAAGCCATTCAGAGGCTGAAGACCAGAGCCAATAACCGGCGGTTGACGGAGGCTTACGACGCTTCCGAGTTGATGCATAAGCAAAGCAACGATCATCGTCACCAGAAGGAGAACGGCAAGGTCGCCACGATCCTCGAGAACTGGTTCAAGAGCTCCGCCGTTAATTCGAAACCGCAAACGGCTACGGCAGGCGAAACGGTTGAGATTTCGTCGTTTCAGTCGGTGTGCGCGTTGCTCTGGCGCGCGGTGACGCGCGCGAGGAAATTTCCAGCGTCGAAAACGACGACGTTCAGAATGGCTGTTAACTGTCGTCACCGGATAGAGCCGAAATTGGAAGCGTACTACTTCGGGAACGCGATTCAGAGCGTGCCGACGTTTGCTTCTGCAGGCGAAGTGCTGTCTCAGGATCTGCGATGGTGCGCGGAGCAGCTGAACAAGAGCGTGAAGGCGCACGACGAAGCTATGGTGCGGCGATTCGTAGAGGATTGGGAGAGTAACCCGAGGTGCTTCCCGCTTGGGAACCCCGACGGTGCATCGATCACCATGGGTAGCTCTCCGAGATTCCCAATGTACGACAATGATTTAGGGTGGGGACGGCCCTTGGCGGTGAGGAGTGGAAGGGCCAACAAATTTGACGGCAAGATATCGGCGTTTCCTGGCAGAGATGGCAGCGGCACCGTTGATTTGGAGGTTGTTTTGGCGCCAGAAACCATGGCAGGGCTGGAGTCTGATCCCGAGTTCATGCTATACGCTTCGAGTCAGTTATGACACGTGTCTAATCGTGGTGTGCCCCCAACGTGAGCACTTGATCACGTGGTGATGTGATGGTTATGTCATGCTCTTGCTCGAGTGGCATGCTTCCAACGGTGACAATTTGATGTGGAACTGTGGGGCACCGTGGGCTGCCCCATTGTGATATTCTGTTGTTTCTTAAGTGTTTCTATCTATTTTTAATTTAATCAAGATGTTTCATGTTTCCCCCTTACTAAATGATTTTCTTTTCTCTTTAGATCTTTACATTTTGTACCGTGATTGCTTCTTATTTTCTCTTTCCTCCTATTTTTGAAAAAATAAAAATTAATGGATTACATTCTACTAGCACTAACAATATTTTCGGTGCTCATTTAGTTCATGTTTTTAATAATCACTTCTATTCCAATTTTCTTGATAACTTTTTCTTAGTGTTTATATATTTTTTAATTTTTTTTTGTTAACAATATCTATTTTTAATTAATATATTGTTTCATGTTTCAACTTAGGAAATGATTTCCTTTTCTCTTAGTACCGTGACTATCCTTTCTAGTTAAAAGTGGAAAAAATCTATAATACCACGATAGTGGATGCGATAGACTAATGAGAAGACTCCATCTCAGCTGTTTTTTTTACTAAAATAACAAGAAAACAAAATATTTTTTATGATTTATAACATATATTAAAGTACATAATATAAATTACAAAAATGCACTCGGTTTAATACCACCGCTCTTAAAAGCGGTGTTACAAAACACTGACGTGACGAGCCGTTGAAGTCTTCTATTTTTGCAGAGAGCTGAATGTTGCACTTTTTTTGTGATCTTATCCCCCTTACCACTTGATATGTAGGCGGGCTCAATGTCAGACGCAAATTATTAATATCAACCAAATTCAGATGTACAAAGTTTACGGACACGGAACAAGTTGCTCCATCTTTGCCTCATCATTGCGATTTAATGAATTTATAGACATTGCTATCATGTTTCACTATCGTATTCAATTTCGTTGACTCATATTTTGTAGAAATTAGTTACGAAAAGGTAGTTAGGAAAAGGCCCGGAGAGAATCCTCAAAACATAAAACATCGCAAGGGACAAACAAACAAATAACCGCTGACACCAAAACATGAAAACTAAACCAATTAATAAGTGGGGTTAGGACAAAATTAAGGTTGTTAGTTGGAGCCATAATCAAACGAGCATAAAAAATATAGCGTAATTAAAGGACCTGACGTAATGTCATACCATTATTTCGTTGACACAATTTCGTTTTTCTTTTTCATATCTCAGAAGGAACGGGGAATTTGTCCAACCTCCTCGCACAACAGTATGGTTGGAAAGAATGGAAATGAGCATTACCGAAGGAAGAAACAAAAAAAACAGTGTTTTAAAAATCACATTTGTTATTAAACTAGTGAAGAGACTATAAAGTTCTTGTTATGCACAGAATGAAATTCATTGTGTATTTTAACTATACTAGAACCGAAAATAATTAATATATATTTAATATTGTATAATATATTAAAAAATAAATAACATTAGATTATAAAAAACTAAGCTAAGCAAATTTTTAAATTTTTATAACTGTCAATTCTTTGGGAATGTGTGAAATTCAAAATTGAAAAGTTTAGAATGAAAATTAGTTTACATTTACTTAGTATGAACAACTATAAGAACGTAGAGTGCAACTCATTCGCACTCCTCATTGACCATTTCTTTGTTTTTTTAGAGTTAATCCAATTCTAATCATCTCTTTGAGTTGACCATTTCTATAGCGCATTGATCAGATCAAATATAATATGGGCTGACCAATATGTATCAAGCCTAATCACACACGGTTGAGATGAGGATTGTGTTCTTGGACTTGGGACTGGAGTTGTTGTTGGATATCACTATGTCTCTGTCCTATGTTAGCGCGATGAATCCGAATGGGGGATACCTGCAAAGACACTCCGATGTTTAAGTCAGTATCAGAGGCAGGAGTTTTTATGTTCTTAATGTAAATGATGATCGTACCTGGGTGTTGTACCCTCTGCTTATATAGCGATTATGATGCCGCCTTAGCAAGGCGGTATGGCCTCTGATTGGCCAGGTTTGGGCTGCAGGTCAGGCTATATCCTGAGTAGCCTTATCTTCTTAATGTCGAGCTATAGAGTCGCGGCAAGTTGGTGCTGTCCTCTGTTTATTAGTTCAAAGGCGCGGTGGTCTTACCTTGGTTCTTAAGTTAACTTCCTCTTTCCTGGAGTCTATGCCGAAGGGCGGTTTCACGCGCAATAGGGGCATCGCGTCTTGCTGTGTGCGCGATGATGACCATCGCGTTTAGTTCTGGACCCTTCATGAGATTGGGCTTCTTTGTATGTTATTGGGCCTCCAATGGGCCTTCTATATTTTGTCCAGATCATGCATAAAAGTGAAACTAAAATATTCTTTTATTTTATTTTTTTGTATAAAAAATATTTTTTTTATTTTCATCTTCGAATTGTAGGTGAAACCAATATTTTACCTTGGTGACACTAACCGTGGGTCAGAGTGTGGAAGTAAAAAGAGTTGTGCTTTGAGCAACAATTATATTATTTGACTTAGTAATATGTGTTCGATCTAACACTTGGAATCATAATTGAGATCAGGAGGTTTGATTCCCCATGATAACACCTTGCGAAAGGCAATTGTTGAAGAAATTATTAGTGAGACCAACATCCAGTTTTGGTAAAGCCTAATGTGGGTTGGAGTTTAATTGATCCATAACCCTGTTGGTGAGACCAACATCCAACTTTAGGAATACCCGGTGTGGGTAGAAGTCAAATTGAATCATGATATTTGAATTAGTAGGGGTAAATAAAAAGAATTACTTCCTAACTAATCTCTATACTTTTTGGCTTACTCAACACCATTAAGCAATAATTAATGAAGAATATATTTTATCACATCTTATTTTCGTTCTTTATTTTTCAACTTAGCATTATCTATCTACTCAAACAAGCAAAATCAAAGGTGGGCTTGATTATTTATTTATTTATACATGTGGACGGCAAAAACCCATAACTTATATCCTTGGTTATTTTTGTTACTTATAGAGATAAAGGCATGATTATAACGATATCTTTATTTGACAAGTGTACATTTATTAAAAAAGAAGAAGCATGACTTACATAGAATTTTTAAAGTTTTTGCGGCGTTATTTTCTAATACAAAATAATATAACATGTGTTTTATATTCTAATCACCTCATTTCCTTTGTATAATTTTCATAATTAAGGTAAACAGTAATACACGTCACATTTCTTTTAAACAGAAACACTATAAGTACACAATAAAATTTATCTAATTTTGTCCTTTAATGACCTTTATGAAAAGGGATAAAGACTTCCAACAATCATAGAATATAGTTTATAAAAAATAAAAAATATCATCAAATGATGATAGTTCAATTGGTATTAAAAAACTGAGTAGGTGAAGATGAAAATGTATTTGATCCTCTCAATACTGTCTTTAGATGAGTTTTAAAACCTTAATATCAAGACACACTTTAAATTGAAAATATTAGAGATGAAGAGTACAACTTGCTTCCTAAAACTCTATCTCCCACATGTATAGTTCCCTAGGCCATTGCCTATATATGTCGACGCATAATTGCTCTCACTTTCAGTCCCCACAAAATGTTGTTTGCAGATAACATCAGGTTTTTTGGAGGCATCTCATCCAATTGACAAGCTAGCTACTTGTACAATGAACCGCATGGGTTCATGGAATAGAAATGACGAATGGCAAGTCAACGGTACATTGCTTTGATTGGCATTATAGAGTGCAACCAGCGCAGTTTTCAACTCTGAAGCTCAAATTTGAACCCTAAACGTATCTTCAAATAGGGGCCCATGATTTCACACGGGAATTTCTAGTTTTACGGTCATAACACAATAACTCCAGTCAATCACAATTCATCTCGTGTGCCTATATAGCTCCTCGCACCGGCCAGGCCACGCTTCACCAACTTTTATCGCAAGAAAAATTGCACAATTAGTGATACAATTTTTATTTTGTTTTTGGGAGAAATGTTTCTGAAGTTAACGCAGATATGTTATCTGTATTTATTCTCAAGACGACGTCATTTTGATAGTGAAATCTTAAAAAATTATAAATATAAAGACTATTATAACCCTGAAATAAATTAAAATTACAAATACACCATGATTTTAGTCCCAAAACGACGTCATATTGGGCTTACTGCAGAAAAAACGAACCCTTTTTTATAGCGTGGAGATATTCACGTTCAACCCCGGGTCACTTTATCCTCGGATTATGGCTCAAAAATTATCTCCTTATTAAAACAACAGATTCATTGAACTTCTTCTTAAGAGTTTGAATTTCTAACCTAAACAAATTCTTGAAAGTTCTGTTGCCAACCGAGCTACCGTTGAAGGTTTATACTCGTCTTATTCTAAAGTTAATAAGTATCACCTAAAATTTTGGAAAAAGCTTATGATGATATTTATTATTATAAAAATTAAATTAATACCTTTAAATTGACGATATTCGATTATATGTAATTAATCTTAGGACTGAGATAATTTTGCAAATAGTTAATTAGATCTAATGAATATTAAAATTAATTAATTAATCTTCTTAGATTAATCAATTACTTCTATAATTAATAGATATAAGCAAATTCTTACTTTAAAATTAATATGATGTAACAAAAGAATCTTTGAAATTCTTTAACTAATAAAATCCGTTTAAAAACTTATGGTTTGTTTTTTAATTGCAATTTTACTAAATAAAAGTAATACGGAGCTTTTTTTTAATGTTTAAAATTTGAGCGAATGGAAAATATGGTGTTGGAGAATAGTTGAGTTTCTGATGATGAATCGTGTAGAAAAAAAACATATAATTTTAGTATTAGTAGCTGTTTCTTTTTATTTCCTAATGTACCATAAAAATTAATTTACTTTATTGTTTGCTTTTGCTAAAGATATTTTTCTCATATATACACTAATTTTTTGGGCATTGCCAAAAAGCAAC